AAATTGTTTTTCCATCTCGAATTATATAAAATATTATGTAATGTTATTTTATGTTACCCTAGTGAATAATTATTCTTTTTAAAAATGTCAAGTGAAACGTAAAATAACCCTAAGTCGACAAATTTGCAAAAAACAGAAAATATTTGAATGAACCAGTTTTCATTTTTGGTCAAAACAAAACTTTTGTTTGTTGAATTCTGTAAATTCTACTTGAATGAAGAAAGCATGCTTACAACTTCCTATGCATTTACCGCTTATTTGTCCTACAATTTGTAACATAAAATAAAAAAAATATTTCAGATACCGATTTGTTGTTGCCATGAAAATAAATTAATTTACTCCGATAATTATGACATCTTGATCAGATATCCACAGAGAAAAATACTCTTCAGTGCATCGCTAACCAGGGCACGTAGGAAATGTATAATATTGTGATTATTTTCATTCAGACTAGTAAGTGCACTGTCTACATCCATATAAAAACAATCTAATGGTAGAATATGGAAATATTGAAATATGTAAATTAATGGTAAAATCCTGAAACAAAAAATAAATTTGAAAGAATAGAATATAAATATTTGTATATATATGAAAAATATTTTTCTGCCAAAAAAACCGTGAGTCGTGATCACGTTATTTAAAAATACAATTTATAAACTTCTACATGACAAAAATTTTAAACTTTAATGAAAAAAAAAACATCCTGTCGATATCAAAGAAAGGAGTTGCTCAACTTAACATTGACTGACATCATTGAGCAAAACAGACAAATTTAAGACACATTCAAATCAAACATTCCTTAATACACTTCCCGAGTTTCCACCATAATTAACAAAAATATCGATTAATGAGTTTAAAAAAAATATTTATCAACGTCTTAATTTGTCATTTTGCATCATATATTCTAATTATTCTAGCATTGTATCATTTACCAGAAATAAACTAACAATTGCCGAGACACACAGATAAGAAATAGTTAGAAATATAGTTAAATGGACATAATGACGCTCTGGAAGACGGTATGAAGAAGTCCGTCATTAAGCTATCAATGCATATTCGGGAGAACACTGTCAAGTATGTTATTCCCCGTAAAAGTTTTCTCTTGTTTGCAGGCAATTACAGTGTGGTAGCCATCAGAGTCAGTCATATGTGCATTGCAGACCCTGTCGTTCTCGTGACACTAATGCTATTGCTGTCATCGGCAATTTAAGCGTCATCATCGTCGTCGTCGTCATCATCTTTTTTTCATATTGCCGTCTGTTTCGTTGTCATCTGCAGTGTATGCTTAATTGTCATCGTCCCGTCATTATTTTTGTCGTTCATCATCATTATCAGAGGCTGAAACGTCGCTAGAGATGCCTCCTCCCGTGTCATTATCAATCACCGTCGCATCATTTCATCATTCTCGCTACATCCCATATTCATTGTTTGGCTTCCAATGAAAAAAAAAACAGCAGCAACAAAAAATAAATCGTTCTATGGTTCTTTGAATTTTTGTTGTACATCTAGAAGCATAATAATATCCCAAAACGACCAAACCACTTTGTTTTAAATACATGCAGATGATGTAACAGCTTTCAAAATGAACGACAAATAGGATGACAAAACGCGTAACAAAGGAAACCAATCCGTCAACTGCTCCATACATATTTATGACTTCATTTAAGTTTTTAAAAGTTACCTGAAGAGAAAATAAATTTTATAAGGCAAGCAGAAGAACTCAAACGCTGTTTTAAAATTTATAATGCAAGTAAAAAAGCAAAGAAGTATTTTCTTCTAAAAATTAAACATAAAAACATTTTAGAAACTAATAAAAATTTTGTAAAATAAAATTGTACAAAACCAGAAAAAACAATCTCTAGAGTATATTTCAAGAGCATTTTATAGAGATGCCATAAAGCATAAAAACACACTTGAGCGGCCAGCCGTGCGTACACTGAGCAATAAAACGTCCGCTCACGTACGTAGTTAACGCGCAAAAATTATGTCCATGCTTGCATGTGTTAACAATGCAGTTAAGAGGAAGTCATCTGCTCGAGACATCAAGTCTTCTTCTTCTTCTTCAGATTCTTGTCGACCAGCAAATTATTTGCAGTACATCGTTTCTTTTTAATTTTAGAAAAATTCAAACAACTGACCAAGAATAGACGTATAATTTTAAACGAACTCAAACAGCACAAGAACCATTAATTTTCTTGGACAGATAATAATTGAAAATCTTCATGCCGTGTTGTGACACAGGCAGACAGGCAGACAAATAGACAGAAAGACAAGTGAAGAGACAGACAGACATACAGACAGAGAGAGACATACCGAGAAAAATTTAAAAAGACGTTTATCTACTGCCTTCAGGATATATCTTCATGTCATGTGAATTGCATTTATAATATTAATAAGAGCTGAGTTAGTATGAAAGAAGTAAAGATGACGAAGAAGATTATAAAGAAGAAGTAAATAACGATGATGATGATGATGAAGGTTAGGATGATGAAGATGATGACGAGGATGATGGCAATGACGCAAGTAAAACTGATGATGATGACTAAAATTCAAATAAGGTGAAAGTGCAATGATGATAAAATGATGTGAATCTGATAACATAACATAATATCATAAAGAATAATGACGTAAAGATGGAGAGGGAGGTACATGGAAATCAAAGGAAGCTGATGGGAATCGACCAAAACATCTGTTGAGTTGAAATGAAAGTGATGATTAAGATGATGAAGATGATGATGAATGATGAGGTAGGTTGCTGTTGATAACCATGATGATGGAAATTGATATTGTTGGTGATGATGTAATTGAGAATGGTGATGATGATGACAACGACGACGATGATGATGGCGATGATGGTGATGATGATTGTCAGATGACGACGCCGTGAACATCAAGGAATGACATTTGCAGAATTAATAAAAAATTCAAGCACGTCGCAAAAAAATAAACAAAATTATTTCAATGGAAAATGACTGCAACTGCAACAACAGCAACAAAACTAAAAATTACATTAACGACAACAGCAACAATACGACGATAAAACACTAATTACATTAAACGCAACTAAAACTATCATATCAACAACATTGCAACAGCTATGAAAACTATAGTATTAGCGTTGAAATCTCATTGAAATATTTTTTTTCCTAAATTTCAAGGTTCATTTAAATGCAACAAACAGTAAAACAACAACATTGACATCATTAATAACAACAAAAAAAAACAACAAAATAACTTTAGCAACAAAAACAACAACAATCACGTCAATACAAACTTGCCAACAATTCAGAAGCACAACAAAGAGTTTTCATTTTAATTTCAATTCAGCGCTTCAAAAAAAAAGTTCCAACACTTTCCAAACGTCATCAATTCATCAGCAATCTTAGCAAGTCAACAAAACCAAAAACGAACAACGAAAAACACAAAAACAATAAAAGCACAAGATAAAAAACAAAAATCCTATGAAAAAACTCTCGACATAATCCAACAAAATTTTCAGCAAAAATGTCGTCTATGACATTACCTAAATGACTAATTATAACGTGACAACATTGAATAAAATATAAACTGTAGCAAAAAAGAATAAAATAAAACACTAATTTGAAAAAAAATGTTAACGAAACAAAGCAAAACACCAAAACAGTGCTATTGAAATGCATGATAACATCTGCATAACAGTTACCATGTAAAATTATTTCAAGTGAACAACAACAAAATGACTACCACTGAATCAATTGCAACAACAAAAATAATAATAACAACAGCTACCACAACGTCACCAGCAACAACATCAACAACAAAACATAATGAAAAAAAAGACCATACACAGACTTGGCATCCTTCATTTATCATGTTCAAACCAATTGCTGATTGACAGATTGACTTTGCGCTTAAAAGTGCTTACGTGATATTCAAACACTTTATACTCCCTGGCTTCATTTGCTTTTGTGCGTATGTGCGTGTGTTTGTGAACGTGTATGTGAGTGTATATTTGTGTGCGATTGTGTGTGCACGTGTATGCTTTTGTAAATGCGTTTAGGTACGTTTTCTTACATCAGTCTTCATACATTTTTATACACGCTTGCTTATGTCATATGGCACTTTATTGTTTTCGAAAGCATTTTTCAATGGTGTTATAAATAAACAGGTAAGTAAGTATAAAGTTCTCATTCAGTAAATGTATGTAAGATTTAATACAAAATGTGTATATTCTAAAAACGACTGCAGACGACTAGACTACCTAGCGATTAAGGTCTTTGATACTCACACAAACATATAGACATAAACACACACACACACTCACTCCCACACCAACGCACATACACACATTCACACACACACATATACACACGCACACGCACGCGTTATAAGTTCGCATAGACACACATCAAGAGGCACATATGTCAGAGTAACTTATTGAATCAGGCAAGTTATGCTGAAGGTCCATGTTAATTAAAGAGGAGTATGTGTGGTGTTAGTGGGACTTCTCGGTGCGTGTCTTCGTCTTCCTATTTTTATTCTTATTTTATGTACGTATTTGTATACATTAGCTGGCATAGTTCATATAAAAATGTAAGCATTGTACATTATTTTTTGGCGATTATAATGCCAACCTAATTATTATCATCAACATTATCATCGTTGAATTTTTATTTGATAACATCACAACCAGATAACACCGTTAAATGATGACACCATAGGATAACATCCTCACCATGTGATGAGGTAACCATATTTTAAATAACATCCTCATTATACGGTGTCACCATTACAATGCCATTACATTACATTACATTACACCTTACATTACACCATTACATCACCATAAGATGACATAACCAACATATCATTTTCATTTGATAAGACAACCGTTCTCATTCGTCATCGCATAACATCATTTGCAGGTTTAAGCAAACATTTGAAGCAGCGTATTGCAGATAGGGGTATGGATTGCAGTGCAAATAAACACTCACCTCGTTTACCTAGTCTTTCTCTATTGCTCAATTTAATCCAATTTTTTTGCCTGGTAACACGATTATTGTTATTATTAATGTTATTATTATTATTTTTGTTATTATTATCATTATTATTAGTACTTCTATTATTGAAGTTATTATTATACATAATATTGTTCTTCTTATTAGAAGTATTGTTGTTGTTGTTGTCGTTGTTGTTGTTGTTGTTGTTGTTGTTGTTGTTGTTGTTGTTGTTGTTGTTGTTGTTGATGTTAATATTTTTATTTTTATTATCATCGTCATTACGATAAAAATTTTCATTGCTATGATTAACATAATCATCTTCAATGTTGCCATCTTCATTATAATTATTATCATTACCATCATGATCATCATAGTCGTAGTTTTCGCTGATGTTCTGAGTGGATTCACCGTAATCATCATTCACATAATCGGCGATGTCATTTTGGATTGAAGCGATTCGGCTGTTCGGATGATTACTTATTGAGTTTGTGTTTGAAATGTAACTTTGATTTGTTGAAGTTTCTTTGAATTTGAGTCTAACCATTTTGTCGTTGTCACGAAATAAGTCTCCATCTACGTCGCCATTTTTATAAATATTATATGAATTAACACTATAGCCTATTTTGTAAAAGCTATTCTTTTTAGTATTCTCGTTTTCAATAAGTTGTTTTCTGCTGCTACTGCTGCTACTTCTACTACTGCCAAATTTGTTAGCGTTATTGTCGTGGACACTTGCGTTGACAATAATGGGCATCATCATCATACCTACCGACATCATCATCATGATCAGCGACAAAACGTTCGTCGACTTCGGAAGCATAGCTGAAGTAGCGGAAGTAATCTTGGATCACGTGATGATGTTGATGACGCAATCTATGACGTTGTTGATTTCCGGTTGGTGTCTTTGTAGGGATGTGTTGCTTATTTGTTCGGTGATGACGTTTCTTTGGAGTTAAAAATCTTTTGCTTTGCTGCTGATGTTTGTAATGTTATATTGTTGATAATGTTTATTTATATTGTTGATTCAGTAACCTATTGAATTAGATTCTAACTTTTCATTCCGTTAAAAGGTTGCTTATTCTGTAGGTGTTGGAGTTGCAGCTGATATTTAAATGTTCGAGTTGTAGTTTTGATCAATGTATTTCATCAAATTTGTCGTAACTTTTTTGTTGCAAACGTGAAATGTTGAAATTATCATGAGGACTCGTGCTGGGTTAACAATATTTGATGCTTATCGTTAATTGAAACTCTGAAAAAATTATTAAAGTTTTTTTTACGCAATATTAACTAATGTATTATAAAACATTACAATCAAATAAATTGAATAATTATATAAAAAAAAACACCTAGAAAGAAATATTTTAAAGGCACATACGGTTAGTTACATGTAAGATGAATATTGAAATCTAAACAAATTAAAAGAAAACAAATTACTGTTCAGTCAGAAAATGACGAAATGTGAAGTTCATATGAAAGAAGATCAGTAACAGGACTAAATAATATCAACAACATTTTAACTGGTTTCGTTTTTTCACCATTTTATCTAGGTAATGAAATGTTACCCTAAAACAATCATTATCACCATGGCATCATCATCATTTTCACTCTTCCTTTTCATCATCATCGTCAACATCATCATTATTGCTATTATTATTATTTTTTTCATTATTATCATCATTAGTAATAATAATAATATCAGCTCCATAGACATTCATGATGATCAGCTTAAAAGAGGCATAGTCACTATGGGATCACATTAATCAAAATCATTTTGTCACCACCACCATCATCGTCGTCGTCGTCATCAGCATTGTCATAATCATCGTCATCACAAATATTTGTGTTGTTACAACATTGAAAGAATGGGTATTTGAAGTTTTATTTCACTTTTATTACTTTGTATTTAACGTTAATACTCCAGATGACATTTTGAATGGCCTCCATAACCGCTCTATAAAAAGATTTTGGAAAAAATTGGAAGAATGATGAGGGGATGAATGAAAAGAAAAAAATGATTGTTTTTAGTTAAAAAAATCGAAACCAAAATAGATACATAAGAATAAATTATATTCTTCAAACGTTATATTGCTAAGTATTTTTTATTCATTTGTTTTTTTATTCATATATTTATACATTTATTTATTTAGTAAGCCATTCACTCTTTCATTTATTCTTTCATTTGTTTATTTCTTCCATCATTCATTCATTCAATCATTCATTATTAAATATATATTTTCTTTCGTGTATTTTTCTTGAATGTTCAACTTTAATTTTGTTGGCGTTTTACTACTCGGGTTTTATCTTTGAGACAATATTGGATTGATATTAACAGGAAAAGATCAATGCCTCCGCCTAATTTCATTTCACTTGAAGAATTTCTTGTGGAAAAAATTCTTGAATCATATCTCTAATCACTATATCACTCAAATACTATCACCATCATTAAAACCAATACTCTATTTTATCATTTTAATTATTTTTTTACTACAAATCAAAATCGTTACTTACGAAGTTATTTTCCGTAATCTTATTTTCTTCTTTTAAGATCAACCTTTCCATCATCGTTATCAAAATCTTCTTCCTGTCATCTTCTTCTACGTCATCACCCTCTTTATCAGCAGCTTCTTCTCCTTCATCATCGTCATCATCAGCTCCAACGTTATAATTTTCGCCAGCGACTCCGTAAGATGAAAAGAATCGTCCTTGTGTTAAATTTTCAATGATTAACGAGATGTCATCACATCATCTTCACCATCTTCATCATCTTCTTCATTTTCATCATCTTTATCATCTTCACATTCAGCAGCAGCAACATCACTATTTTCTTCACCAACATTACCCTCATCTTGTCCTTCACCATAATTACCATCAATTTGATCGTCATCGTAAGCATCGTTGTCGTCAACGTTAAAGACATTGCCCTAACTCATGTCGTCGTTATTATTACCACCAATGTTTTTGTCATCATCAAACTTTATAATCATCATGGCCACCACAATCATCGTAAAACTGTTGTAATCATAACGATTATTATCACAAAAGTCATCATCATCATCGTCGTCATCATCGCCGTCATCATCTTCACCATCATCGTCATCATCTTACATAAGCATATATTTATACATACATATATTCGCATACGTGTTTATGCATATACTTTGTACCCTGTTTTAATTAGAAGAGAGGAGTCTTCTTATAGAGCACATTATTGGAAGAGAACCCAGCACGCTCCACTGGCGATTTATTTATTTCCACTCTGGACTCGCGTAGTTATCGTAATAATCGGCCAGTTGATTGCTGTTAATGTTGGTGATACATACCGATATGCGATGCTCTTTCAGACAGTAGGCCTATTCCAATCTAAGTACCTTATATTCAAGTACTTAAGAACTCGATACTTAAGTACTCAAGTACGCAAAAGCAAGTGCGCGTGTACTTATTGTGTTTAATATGTTGACTAACAAGAGATTCACGGTTACTTTCTGTATGATATTTGTAGTGAATACAGTATTTTTTAATAACAGTTGTTTTTTTTTCAAAAGATAAAAAGTTGAATGAGAACTTGGAAAAGAGTATTCAAAATCAAAACTATGAAGCATAAATTAAAAAAAAGTATAGAAGTCGGCATAAAAATATAAATGTCGAAAAGAAAGAAAGCAGGATAATAATAAATGAAAACAGAAGATAGAGAGAGAGAGAGAGTGAAAAAGAGAAAAAAAATGAGAGAGAAAGAGAGAAATAGAGACAGAGAGAGAAAGAGAGAGAGAGAGAAAGAAAGAGAAAGGGAGAAAAAAAAGAGATAAAAATAATGGCAACATAAAACCAGTAGTAGCGAATGGCCGTCGAAAACGCTTCTTTTTGAATGACGATCAATGCGAAACATTTTATTTCTCCTCTTTTCATTTCATCAATCTATCCATTCATTATAAAATAAAAACAAAAGTTATATCATCATCATCATCATCACCATCATCATCATCGTTGTTGTTATTGTTGTTGTTCCAGTGCAATCACATTATATTTGTTAACATATATCATATATCATCATCAATAAAGTCGACATCAATTACAATCCTCCCCATACCAATTATCATCAGTATCATTATCAGAGCGCTTATAACCCTATACACAGAACTCTCTATAAATGACATTTTTATTTATTATTATTTCTACACCAAAAATTTGTTCACCAATAACGTAAAGACTCAAATGGAATGGTAGTGGCATTACAAAATCATCCTAAAAAGTTCAGCATCAGTCCTACCAATCCTCTTCACATATATTTTTCATTGATATGAAAGTAGAAAAAGTGTAAAACCAAACCCAGATAATATTTGAAAGCGATAAAAAAATGTCTTCACGATATCCAAGTACAAACTTATTTGGCTTGCACATAGATAGAAAACAAATATAGACTTTTGTAACTTATATATATATATATATATATATATATACATATGTATGTTTATATAAATATATATCTATATATATATGTGTGTGTATATATATATATATATATATATAGATATATTTAAATAAATAATAAATTTATAAATTATAATAGCGTGTATGAAGAGAAGCAAGGCAAATAACTTTATGTTAAAACTCGTTAATGCACAATGTGTGACGGCGATGGAGTAAAAGTGGATTAGGCGAACAATTCAGCTGAATTGTAATATTCAACTAAATCAACAAAATATAGCTGAACTGAATAACTAGCCGAAAACTCAACTAACTGGAAAAAGTTATAAATGAAACATCAAATCGACTGTAATAATGAGAACACTGGTCTTTGCGATAATTAAATCCTGGAAATATAAAACTATCATTGTACCTACAATTGGCGAAGATAAGGCGCTCATGAACATTTTTAAAATTTTAACACATCACATGTGCAAATGGCACAGCTCATACATAACCTCATTCTTGCCTTACACCACAAAACGTAGATACTATCTCATCCCAGCACACCGTAACAAAATTCACAGCCTACCAGCATGTCTTCGTCGTTTATTAAATATTTTACAGCCCTTTCAATGCTGTCCCAATGGCGAATCAATAAATTATTGATGCCAGCAATTGTCATCAGCGTTCTCGACTCGTTATTACTACGTATTTTAACATTGCTTTCGGTTTTGTTATTATTTGTTGAATAAATTCAATCTTATCCTTGAAAAATATTCATATTTTTTAATAAAAATTTTTGAAATTATTGAAAAATGGTCGCAAGGCTCACAACTATTGTATATTTATTAAACTAACAATAACATTGAATCAATATTGAAGAGAGTGAGTGGTATTTATCAATAAGACACCTGCGCTTGGCTGTTATTGAACAGTTCAAAAGTGACAAACTACGCAGCATGCATTCTAATCAGGCTCTCACAAGTAAATTTGAATATGTAAAATGACTATCTAGAATGATAAACAATGAAAAATTGTTTCAATAATACATCAACAATAATATTTTAACAAAATAATGTTTTTGTTTATTTATCAGTTCATATTAAAAGTTAACATCATTGCAAATATTCAAATCATCTTTGTCATCAGTTGCACCCACGTTGTCATATTTTAAAATAAGTACAAACATTTTTTAACCATCGATTCCCCATCTCTGCCACCATAAATAGTTACCTTCCCCCACTCCAAATTACATTCAACGTAATCATCATCTTTATTTTACAAAATTGAATTATGTTACTGAAGTTACGACGGTTTCATTCATCTTCATCATCATCACCACCATTATTATCATCTTCATCCTCGTCATCATCATCAATGAAATCTTCCAACCAATCACAAGCCAACTGACCAATTGACCGACCGAAAAATTGACCAATCAAACAACCAGTCGACCGACCAGCCAACCAGCAAACCGACGAATCAACGAATCAACCAAGCAGCGTTTTTATTATTCCCCCTCCTGCATATTATTTGCCATTGTAAAAAGGGTCCGAACGAACGTGACCTGTTTGTCAAACATCGTCTGATTGGCCGGGCCTGATCACGTGAGATGACGTAATTGGCCTCCATTAGTTATTTTTCTACGGAAGCAGAACAAGTTACAAACGCGTATACATTTTTGCGTTTATATTTACGCGTTTGTGATTATTCGTCTCATAATAAAAAATTACGTTATACAATTTTTCTATTTTCAGATTTATGACATTGTTTTTTAAACGTATCTGTTTGAAAGTTTGATTTGATTTCTTTTCATTTTTTCCATCTTAAACGTAGCACGGCTTTATGTTCTGCTGCTTCCAAATCTCACATCATTTACTCTGGTGGTAACATATATTCAAATAAATTGAATTTTTAATAATTTTTCAACACTTTTGATAGCTAACAAACAAAATGTAGGCACAGTAGATACTTTGATAAATTTCTTTTCAAACATTTGTTTATATTTTGATGTGTTGCAAAGTTTTCTGAGTAATAATAATAACCAAAAATAAATGCAAGGCCGGAAGTGCAGTAATATGACGTCAGCGGATGTGGCGCTCTGACGTCACGATATTTCTGACGTGTGTATGTGTGCTTTAATGATTGCTCTAAAAAAGTTTTTTCCTTTTTTTTCTATTTTTTCATTATGCATAATTTTGAGTGACGTTTCATTATTTCGATATTTTTGCGCATAAAAATTGCAAATTGTTTGAAAGGAAAGTGAGCTTGTGCGTGTGTTTGGAGTGAAGTTATCATTTGCGTTTAAATGTTGTAAGAGATTAAAAACTTTTTAAAGGTTATATCTTTTTGTTTGAAAAACAACGTTGATGACTTTTAAAAAAGAGGCTAACAAAATGTTGCGTTGCATCCGTAATGTTGTATCATCATACTTTTATTACATTGAGTTTTTATTTGTGCCTTCTAATGTTTTAGGGTGGTTTATGAGTTTTAAACGTAACTCTTACAATACACAAGTTTGCACGTGTTTATTTGTCTGTGACATCCTCATCGCAACCCCCTCAACTAATAGAAGTCTTGAAGCTCTTCAGTCTAATTGGGATCATCTTCATCTTGATTACGTTGAAAGTTTCATTTGACTCGTATAGCCGTTTGGTGCTAGATCTTCCTTTCAATATTTTCAATTTTGCTTTGAGTTAAATACGAGTGTACAAAACATAAGTTTTAAAGAAAAATTTCCACAGGTAAACAAACTATTAAAATGGTACGTTTCATCATGTTTATATGCATACAAGGATATTTTAAAGCCATCATTGAGCTTTCATAAACATTTATTACCTACATCATGCCTGTATAATAAATATAAAATACTTGAGCCTAGGAAGGTCAAACAAAAATGTAATGATGTCATTCAACCTCGGGAGGATAATTTAAACGTTTGCACCCGCTCAATCTAATTCAAGCCGCGTGCATTGCAATATTTTAATTTCTGATTATTTCACATTCCTGTCATATTGTCTTCACATTTTTTGCGTTGTTTAACGGAGTGCTAAATTTTTTTAAAGGTATTTTATTAGAAATAACAATTTATTCTTTAAAAATTCATTTTTAAATTAACAAATTGTATAGTTGTGTGAAAACTTTAAAATTGTATTAAGATTCGGGTAGAAAATTGTTTGTATGCGAAAGGCTGCTGGTTGCTATTGTATGATTCATGGTGCAACACTCGGAAATGAAAATAACTTTAAAATGAGTGTCATACTTGCCAGAGTAAAACATTATTTTTATTATTTTCATTTTAAAAAATGGAAAGTAATATTTTTATGAATTTGACATTAATCGATCGATATATCAATTACTAATTAATCAATCGATCAATCTATCAATTAGTCAATCAAAAATTAACTAAAAAATTTCAGTTTAAAAAATTTTTTGCATCCCTTAAATTTATTGTTGCAGGTTAAATAATTTTTTAAAAAATTTTCACAATTTTTTTCACCAAATTGCACGTTGCATGAATTAATCGGAGATGCAGAAAATCACTTCCATCTAATATATATTTGATTAGCAAAATGATTGCTGCAAAGAACACAAAATAAAACATAAGGAGAGATAAATTGATAGATAGATAGATAGATAGAGAGAGAGAGAGAGAGAGAGAGGGGGGATAAAGAAAAAGAAATTAAAGCTAGCAATCCATCAAACACCCATAATGTACATAAATGTATTTTGTGCAAACGAGTAGAAAGACAATTTAACAGGAGCTGTTAACAAAAGCACATACCTGCATTTTGTTTTACGAAGCAGTTGGTGGTGAATACATTAAATGTGTAATCGTAGAAGCATTAGACATGTGAGAGTGCTTTTATATACCGGTTGTTTTTTTTCTCTTTTTTGTGGGTTTATTGTATTTTCTTAGATATGTTTGTGTATGTGTGTGTATGTGTGCTTGTTTTGTGTAAGTGTCTGTGTAAGTGTCTGTCGGCTTGCTTATGAGATTTTTTATGGATTATTTGGCTACTACGCGCAAATGGAAATAAGTGAAAAAATTTGTGGAAGTGGATGTGTTGTTTTTTTTTATTATAGTCTTGGTGACATTAGTTTGAATAGTCATTAAATGTATTTATTTTTGTTTTTCATGGCAAGTTTTTTAAAATATTTATCAGTAGATCATCAAAAGCAATGTGAATTAAAATGTTGGTTAATTCGCAATCAACAAAATTTTGTCGTAAAAACAATTTGCTCTTGCCTTTGTGCGTGCATGCAACGATCATGCCATAACTTTCCCTTCAATAGAGCACATCAAGATTGGAAGCATCGTTATCGAGTTGCGTTGTTTTATAATCAACATCGACATCAACAACAACATCAACATCATCATCATCATCTTCAACATCATCACCAACAACATCACCATCATCGTCACCATCAACATCACACTTGTGGGTTTAAGAGCAACAAAAGCGTTCAATACTTTTAGAAATCAACAATCCCATACATATTGAATGTCTTCATTGTACAGTACATGTGAAGCGATAACAAAAATAAAATCCTGTGTGAACAAATCTTTGCACAATTACATGCGATATACGCACGAAAACATTCCCATATACAAGCGCAAACACACGCGCAAACACACGCACACAATCATTAGCAACGAATATAAACATATAACTAGACATCAGGCATAAAAACCTGAAACGAATATCATAGACAAAAACATAAACAAATATGGAATATAGAAAGAGATCGGTTGAATATAGATGAGTGGCTACTAGCGGCCTAACAAGATGCCAGATGGAGATTAGCAAGTGCTGACCAGGCAATGGACCATGAAGTGTTGCTAGCTTGTCTTGAATATTAATCAACGTGTACGTGTTGTGTGTGTACGTGTGTGCGTGTGTGTGTGTGTGTGTACGTGTGTGCGTGTGTTGTGTGTGTGTGCGTTTGAGTGTTTCTGTGAGTTCATTAAGAGTATATTTTACGTACTGAAAATGTATATAAAAAGTTTAACTGTTGATCTTTGAAAACTGTAGTTAAATAAAAATTAAAAATTCATGCACAAAGTTATTTCAATGTTTTTTTGTTGTTTTGTTGAGAATTTAGTAGAGTTAAACACTGTTTAATATAAGTTACATTTGGTTCTCATATTATTTCAGTAACTCTATCTGTAACATTTATGTTCTGATTCTGAAAAAAAATATATTTCTGCCATCTACCTAAACTTACTCGGAATTATTTTTTTGACTATTCGACATCCTAACAAAAATGATTGCGATGATGATATAATGAAGATGATAAGGAGGATACTGATAACAAGAATGCTGATAATTGAGATAATGATATAAGATATTAATGATATATCAGTGATATAATTATATGGTAATAATTATAATCAAGGTAGCGTGGTTTAAAGTTAAGTCGCGTTGTAATTTTTGTTTCATAGCGTTTTTTTTTGGCATACATATAAGAAGGGCTCGTGTTTGTAGTGTGCTGTCCTAATGAATATGCTTAACCGTGAGTATGAACATCAACGCCATTAAAATAATTATCATCGTTATTTATGAATGCCGGAGCGCGGAGATGATGACGACGACGATGAGGATGATGATAAAGATGACGTTAATGACGATGGTGATGTCTTTGTTGTTGTTGACGATGATGATGGTGAAGACGGAGATGTTGGTGAGGATGGTGAAGATGATGATGATGACGATGATGATGACGACGATGATGAATATAATGACGATGAAATTAGTGGTCAAGAAAATAATGTTGAATTCAATGATGATGATGATGATGAGGAGGAGGAGGAGGAGGATGATGAGGATGATGATGATGAAATTTTGATGACATTGATGATGCTGGTTATAAAGCCGAAAATAATTATCATCCAAATGATTTGAATATTAACTTTTATTAATTATTAAATATTTGATTTGTTAATAAATCAAAATAATATAATAACAAATTTATAATGAAACTAAATGATAACATATGATTAAAACAGTGATAAGATATAACTGACAGAGTAGAGAGCCCTATTAACTATAATTAACGTACAAACAGGTAAAACTGATAATAATGTGATTTATGTTTTATCACTTAAATACGATGATAAAAGAGATGATGATGAAGCAGGGGACGTAGCTACATCATAACGCGGATGAAAATGATTGATAAATTTTAAGTTTACATACTTTCTGTTGGTACAATGATAACAAATGCGCAGTAAATAGCGTTTAAAATCTTTTTTTAAATAATGAAAATAATATAATCAATGAACAATTAAGTAGCCATGGCATTTGATTAAACGCGAAAGCTATTGAAAAAAAAATTATGTTCAACGCATATAAATGTTGATTTTTTATAAAAAGATCAATAATCAATTTTATCAAATTATATTTTCCGACTAAAACATATTATTTCAATTCAAATGATTGAAACTCCATAAATTCCAAAAAAAAATTCAATTATAAATCTGAATCGTGATATCGTAAAATGTTGTAATGAATTTTTTATACTGAGCTAACTAACCTTTTCAACGAGTAAGTAGTTAGTCGTCTTTCGGCGAGTGACAACGATTAACTAATATGGAAATAATTAAATGAAAAACTAACTTTAAATTAAAA